TACTCGTAGTAACAAGAAGCTATTAGAAACAAGTGCCACGCTATTAGGAACAAGTGCATCGCTAGTAGTAACAAGAAGTCGTGGTGTGGGCCAGGTGATCTGTTGAGCAAATCGGTCAAGAAGAGTCGGGATGCACAAAGGCGAGAGCCCTCGTCTCGACCCGACCAAAGGGCGATGACCCAAAGGGGAAAAAAGGTATCGGGCCATCAGGTAGCAAACATAGTCTAAGCTTCTTGTTACTACTAGTAAGGCACTTGTTACTAGAAGCGATGCACTTGTTCCTAGTAGCTTCTTGTTTCTGATAGTCTAAGCAAAAGAAGAAACACAAAACAGGAAGACATAGCGACTAGTCTCTTTCTTTCGATGCAGTCTTGGCACAAAACTCCACCTTTCGGCGTCCGCACTGCGACGTGGTCTTTGTCGTCCTCACCCTGAGACTGAAAAAAAAGAACCTATATCAACATCTCAATTATTTCATGTTTCTCTGTCTCTTTGTTTCAACAATTAAACTATTTGCGCGTCCTTTATTGTCTTTTGATCTTTATTTCCTTTCTTCTTGACTTCCTCTCATCCATTCCTCTTGAAAGACATGTATGCATCGGTATATACTAGTGACTAGTGTAGAAAGGAAACCGTAGCTGCCTCGTTAGCAGTTTGCAGTAGTTTCATGCATATTGCTGAAATGTATGCACCCGAGGATCCACCAAGAATCGGGTGCAACCACCTTCATAGTCCTCCTGAGAAGACAGTGAAATGGTCGACGAACACAACGTCACGATTCTTATTTGTATCTTGCCATCGCCCAGATATTATAATGCTATTTCATTAAAAGTGGGCGATAGTTATTTGTGTTTAATGCCAATAATTCATTGGCCATATTTTTCATTATTTGTGCCTTCGTTGGCCTCTTTTTTATATGATGGCAGATTTTCTATTCATTCTATTTCTTTTATTAACAACCTGCCAATGAATAGATTGATTGCCTCCGACCTAAGAGCGATGGCCTCCAACCTAATAGCGACTAAGCCCAACAAAACACGAGTCCAGAATGACATATGCAAGTTGCAGTTGAGCAGCAGTCAACAAAATGAGGAAAGTCAGCTGGCTGTGCCGGTCACCGTAAGCATCACTTTGGAAGCCTTTGGAGGTAATTCTGGAACCATCCCATGAGCCATCAGTGTGTGGCTTGAAGTAATCACCTTTCTGGTATCCTGGGAAGCTCCCACACGCCAGTGCAAAAAGAAAGTAATGTGAAATGATCCTATCTAAAATAAGATGCTTATTTGAAGGAAACGGTTTGACAATTTTTGCCGAAAGTCTATAGCACCGGAACTTTGCATTCAATCCCAAAGGTCTGCAGCCAGCAATGGAGGGCAAAAGATGCTCGCAACCTGAGCCATGTGTGGGAAGGTTTGCGCTCCTCAAACGCTAAGAAGCTAAGCAGGGCCCTAAACATGTCTCGCTTACCAACAGCATTTTGAAATTGTCGAATGCAAATGAACAGCCACTTCGCCAGTGCCTGTGAGCGAGGGACAGAACAATCCCCCAGAATGTGATTGCTTTGTAAACCACCCCATAAAGTGCCACGCTAGCAGTAACAAGTGCCTTACTAGTAGTAACAAAGAAGCTATTAGGAACAAGTGCCACGCTAGTAGTAACAAGAAGCTTCCACCTGCAGCACAGCTTTCTCTCTGCAGGCTGAGGTTCGTCTGAAGAGCGTCTCATCCACAAATTCTGGTACGCAAAGGTTGCAGTTTGTCATGTGGCGGAAAGAATATGGTAATGAGACGGCCTTAATGGAAAGTGATAATGCATTGATAGATACATGTTCAATTCACTTCACTAGCTTTTTCATGTGTTTTTAAAATCTTGTTTAGAGTTTAGACATGTTTTCTTTTATTGTTTAGTTTCCTTATTTTTTCTGTTATAGCTGATCATCGCTGAGCAATTGTCTGCTCGTGCACCTCCTGGGCCAAGTTGCAGCATCTGTGTGGAAGCCCAAGGTCTCCAAGACATCCACGAAGGCCTGGAGTCCGTCCACTCTTTGGAACACAAAAAGGAAAAGAGAGCTCCTTGGGAAACAACAAGGGAAAGCAGTTCGAGCAGGAATATTGTTCTTGTACACAAATTACATGCCAGCATAGACCCCAGTCAGCAAAACGACTTTTGTGAGCAGCGGTCAGGACTCAGCACGCTGCAGCGGCCGCTGGCAGCGGGCCTACGTGTTTTTGACACGTCGCAGCAGCACCCCCCAGCGGTACCCTCGGGCACCCTGCAGCACGCGCACACAGGCACCTCTTCCTATTGAAGCAAGAACCCCAATAATTCAATAGCTCTCGCCATCCACGGAAAAAGTTCTGTGAGAGCTCTGTGAGCATGCGTTGAAAGCGCACCTCGCACTCATCTGCGTTCATCAAGTCCAATATTTGAAAGCCGCCTTTCAGCCCTTTCACTTCTTGTAGTCTCACCTCGCGAAAGGTCAAGCCGAAGTAACACAGACCTTTGCATGCATATTTTGCGTCATGTTTAATAGTGAGCGAAGAATATTGTTTGATAATACATATGAATGCATTTGCCCTAACAATCTAGGAACCGAACGAATAGTGCCTGAGCTACCCTGCGCCCTACCTAGGAGCTAACTCAGCCGCTAAGCCCTTCCTTATTTAAGGAGTTGGGGGGCAGCGCGGCCTAAACACAAAAGGAAACAGAAAAAGAAACTTGAGAAAAGGGGGGTGGACGAAAGGTTGGTCGGCTGCAGCAGCAACCCCCCAAGCAGCAGCAGCAGACCACAAACCAGCAGCATAAGCAGCATAAGCAGCAGCGAGGCACCACTCAGCAGCAGCGAGGCACCACTCAGCAGCAGCAGCAGCAGACCACAAAACAGCGGCAACAACAGCAGCAACAGCAGCAGCTGCAAACCAACAAGCAGCACCAGCAGCACCACCAAGTTTAAGGAGTTGGGGGGCAGCGCGGCCTAAACAAAAGGAAACAGAAAAAGAAAAAAACGTATTCATGTGATTTCATGTGTCTATTCAGCAAGGCGCCTTACTATTAACAAGAAGCCACTAGTAGCGATGCATATGCATCATTCTTCGCTCTGAGCAGCAAACGCTAGGCATCGATGAGTGCAGGGGGAAGGCCGTCTCTGGTGAAACCTTTCTCGAAATCGACAAACAAAACGCATCTGAAAAAGAAACATCGTCTTTTTCAGTAACAAGTGCCTTACTAGTAGTAACAAGTGCCTTACTAGTAGTAACAAGAAGCTACTAGGAACAAGTGCCACGCTAGTAGTAACAAGTGCCTTACTAGTAACAAAAAGCTATTAAGAACAAGTGCCACGCTATTAGTAACAAGAAGCTATTAGGAACAAGTTCCAGACCTAACATAACCTTACAAAACAGCGTTCTGAGATGTTTTCAGTTCTGACCTTCACTACTCAACTTACTTGAAGCACTTGAAGTACATGCAAAAAAGGCTTTCTTTCCTTTGCTTCTTTATTCTTTACACCTTCAGACCTTTCCTTCCTTTCTTTCTTTGCTTCTTCCTAAGTTTATCCGGTAAAGCTTAACTCTGGAAGCATTGAGCCTCGGGTCGTAAACCCCACAGAGGCAAGTCTGGGCGCTCTTGTCCGTGCTCCCTTGCGGCACAAAAAAACCTGAGTCTGCTCATCTCTGAAAAGATCTCCCGGCAACACGAAACAAATCCTTCGCAGTCTCCTTGTCATAGGAACAGGAAGCTACTAGTAGCAAGGTGGATCGCTACTAGTAGCTAATTTGCAAGCATGAAACAGGTCCTTCTTCGCCATTCCTCGTATTACTCGAGCAAGACGCATGAGCTTTGAGCCAAGTGGCCTGACACCAAGCGGTCTTAGACGAGCCAAGTAAGGTCTACAGAACAAGAGCGGGAAGAAAAAGGGCCGCGACTTAATTTTGTTTTTTTAGTTTCTTTTCTTGGATTTTTTTTCGTGTTTCGTGGCAGGTGCAGTGCTTTGTGGGCCTTGGAGTGCAGATTTCGTGGCAGGCGCAGGACTTTGTGGACCTTAATGTGGAAGTGTAGAGTTGGTGGCACGTGCAGGACTTTGTGGGCCTTGGAGTGCAGATTTCGTGGCAGGCGCGAGACTTTGTGGACCTTGAAGTGCAGATTTCGTGGCAGGTGTAGTACTTTGTGGATGTTGAACTGCAGATAGACAGATAGAAAGATAAATGGATCGATAGATAGATAGATAGATAGAAAGATAGATAGATAGATAGATAGACAGACAGACAGATGGAGGAAGCAATTTTGCTTGGTTAGAAAGTTTTGCGCCGGGGAGTTCACCTTAAAATATTGATTTCGTGGCAGGCGCGGGTGTTGGGGATGAAGTGCAGATTTCGTGGCGCAGCGCCCCCCCCCAGCAGCACACCAGATCCAAAGGTGAGCAGCTCGTGCTTGCTTGCTTGCTTGCTTCCTTGTTTGGTTTCGTCTCTGCAACGTAAACAACAGGAAAAGCAAATGCAAAAAGAGAAAGGAGAACAGCTGCCCAAAAGAAAGAAAGAAAGAAAGAAAGATATAGACAGATAGATATAGACAAATAGATGGATAGGCCAAAAAGCCAAAAGCTACAGAAGCCACGAAAGCCACGAAAGCCAAAAGCCACAGAAGCCACAGAAGCCAGAAGCCACGAAAAACACAAAAAAAAACAAAAAAGGAAACAACAATTTTTCAAAATTAAATGGCCCTCCGAAGAAAATAAACAAAGAATGGAACAGACTCTTTTTGCAGATTTGAAGGTGGGATGCAGTGGGCCAAGCTGCCAGGGATGGCTAAGCAGCATACAGTGACTCCATGCCCCAGCTGCAAGCTAAACACATCGAAACGAAAGCACAACTCTTGCGCATAGCGCGCATAGAATGGTTTTTGGCAGGTTTTTCAGAAACACATCTGAATGATAACCTTCCACGGCAGCATTTTCAAGCTGAGTCAGTCTGTCCCTTTGCCGTCTCTCAGGCATTTCGTTATCTGTGACAGGCAATTTGGCCACGTCACGAGGATGCATTAGAGATTTATACTCCTCATGCATCTTTTTCTTGCGAATTCGAAGCAATACTCTTGAGTCTCGCCCGCTTTGCTTGGATTCAGTCTTTACAGGTGTTCGTCATTGCAATGAATAATCCTTTTTTCATTGTTACTAGTAGTAAGGCACTTGTTACTACTAGCTTCTTGTTACTACTAGTAAGGCACTTGTTACTAGTAGCGATGCACTTGTTACTAGTAGCATGTTCTAATCTCTCAACGGTGAGAAGTCAAAACTCCTCCTCAGAGGCGAAGGGATCCAATTCGGGGAAGTCGCCCACCTCTACCTTGCTCGAAGATGACGGTCCGCGGTGCCCAGTGCTGTGCAGTGGCTGCTGACAATGATTGTTCTTGATTGTTTTTTGAAAAACGTTTTGACCTAAAAGCTACTAGTAACAGGTGCATCGCTAGTAGTAACAAGTGCATCGCTTCTAGTAACAAGTGCCTTACTAGTAGTAACAAGAACGCTACGAACGGGGCTCCTGGCCATACCACTAGGAGCATTCTTGCTACTAGGAGCAAAGGGCATCGCTACGAACGGAGAAAGGACGCTACTAGGAAAAATGCTTCTAAAAACACAAACAACTTTCCTCCAAGGTTCATTGTCTGGCCGCACGAAGCAACCATACTTGTCTCCCTTGCAGTCAAAGTAATGCTCTCCAGCTTTTGATCCATCATTGTTGCCTCGACCCAGGGGTCCCCAAGTCTGGCTTGAACCAACTTCCATTGATCACGCAATTCGTTTCACACACTGATTATATATGGTTTTCGTCAACATGCCTTGAGGTTCGTCCAAGCCAACTCCAATCCAAATGCCCTCCGGAAAGCAGCAATTTCTCACACCCCACCGTCTCTCACTGTAACTCAGGGAGTCTCACTAGTCTCACTCGAGTCGCATGCGTCGTGACTACAAAAGCTTATTAATATCCTGATAGCGTCCTTGCTCCTAGTAGCGATGCCAGGAGCCCCTAGTAGCTTCTTGTTCCTAGTAGTAAGGCCTTTTGCTATTAATTTCTAACTCCGGCCTGATTTTATGGAACATTTACCTGAAAATCTAGACACCAAATCATTGGTGCGAGCGCTTCTTCAAGGAAGCTCCCCCCAGCCGCCTTTAGGGCAGCCGCGGGAGATTCCTTGAAGCGTGAGCTCTCCGATCTCCTGCGTCCTAAGTAGCTTAAGTAGCTAGGAGCTACCTCTCCCTTACTTAGCGCCTACTGAGGGGAGGCTGAGCGGCCTAAAAAGAAGAAAAAAGAAATCAAACAGAATTGAATTTCTTCGTCAAATGCTGCATGGTGCGTTTTGGAAGAGTAAAAATGTGCGCCTTGGCGCCTCTGACGGAACCAACATAAGCAATCTCTCCTCGCCGGCCACCGGGGTGCACCTCCCATGCGAATTAGAAACATGCAGTAACAACGTCCTGGCATCGCTACTAGGAACAGTGTTCGCTACTAGGGGCTCCTGGCATCGCTACTAGGAGCAAGGACGCTACTAGGGGCTCCTGGCCTTACTACTAGGGGCAAGGACGCTACTAGTGTGTTGATCGCATCGCAGCTGTTGCTTGAGTCCAACACTTGGCAGCGGCTCCCAAGTGGTATTCGGACAGAAACCTGGCGTAGAGATGGAGGCCGAGAGCCCCGGCCACCTTTACCGTATGGATCTTGACTCAAGTCTCAAAGGTAGGAAGGCATTGCTCACTAGAAAGAAAGAGATAATGAGGAAAACAAGTTAGAAAAAGAACAAAACACTGATTAGGTTGGAGGCCATCGCTAGTGGAAACAAAGAAACAAGAAAAGGAAGAACGGTATAATATGGTAAATTGCAGGTCTCCGCTTCACCTCCTCCAAGCTCTCGCTGGGCTCCTCCTCAATGACCTGAGTGCTCGGTTCTGGTACACTCCGCTTACAATGCGCCAAAATCAGATTTTCTCATCAACCATTCGCTCAATTAAACTAGAAACACTCAAAATCATGCAGGAAGACGGTCCGGTCAAGCTTTCCGTGTTGGCCTCTTCGCTTGGTCTCTAACCTCCCCAGCAGCTATTCGAGCCGCACGTTCAGCCTCTGCCTGAAACGTCTGATACGTCTGGACGTCAACCTTTCACTAGTAACAAGTGCCACGCTAGTAGTAACAAGTGCCTTACTAGTAGTAACAAGAAGCTAGTAGTAACAAGTGCCACGCTACTAGTAACAAGTGCCTTACTAGTAGTAACAAAAGCTATTGCTTTAATTTTAATTTATATTGTTTCTAATAGCAAACATTGTTACTACTAGTAAGGCACTTGTTACTAGTAGCGATGCACTTGTTTCTAATAGCTTCTTGTTTCAATTCTGTGAACGGTGAATGTGGAAGTTTGTGAATTCTCAGTCATTCAAAAGTCTTGTCTTGGGTTGGAGGCCATAGCTACTAGGTTGGAGGCCATCGCTATAGTTAATTTTCTCTAAAATTCTAGGAACCAAATGAATAGCGTGAGCTATCCTGCGTCCTAGGTAGTAGCCGCTACTCAAGCTACTAGCTACCTAGCTTCTACTAGCTACCTAGCCACTACCTCTTCTCGGCCTAACCCCGGGGCTTACAAGAAAGAAAAGGAGGGCTTCTGCAAGAGATCGGCCTTCTCCTTCTCTCGCCTTTTGATGGCTCGAACACTGTTTTCAAGTTTCTCATACTCCTGCGAGTGGCATCGTTATTCCGAAAGGCGAAAGCCCCTGAAACGACGAAGAGCCAAAGCTTCTTGCATGTCAAGGCTTTCTGTGTTGGTGATATTAGCGACTTCAGAACTCCTCGTCGGCCATGACATACTTTTGCACCTCAAAAAGGAATACCCGAATCGCACGCGAGGAATCTCTTCAGCTGTCTTGAGCCCGGCCTGACTCACATCCTCCAAGCCTCCGTTGGCAGAGAGCGAATACGGATTTGTATCCTGGCAGCCACAGAATAGCAACGAGGGAAGATTGCGGAGCTAGAGATCGAATTGTTGCAGTTTCGTACATTTGTGTCTACTAATGGAGCCCCTAGTAGCGTCCTTGCTCCTAGTAGCGTCTACTATATAAATATGTCTATATATATACTCATTTCAGCGATTTGGCAGCATATGGTTGGCCGAGAAGTGGCAGCTGCAGCTGTTTCATGATCCAGTACAAGTGTTGTATGCAGGTGAGGCGGGGATTCACCGGCGAACTGGTCCGGTCACTTCTGTGTATAATATCGATCAAGGTGGACAAGGATGGTCTATGTCCATGTGCGGTTGAGAACTGGTCGCCATGCTAGCGAGTGCTAGGGCAATCAGACGATCTGCAACAATACCCTTTGGATGAATTGCCATCAGCCTGCGTTTTGTGTAGTGCTCATAGCATGACTCTTGGCTGGTAATGGGAAAAATTGGAAAGATCAAATCAAACAAAGGAAGAACGGTTCACAGGAAAACAGCTAATGTCCAAAGAAAACCAGAAAAAGAGAAGACCGCCCTATCTCACCGCACTCTGCACCACCCAACATGATGATTTGGTCCGCAAACCCGTCGATCCCATGAACACCGACTTTGAGCACAGCCTTGATGTGAATCTCCATACCGTTCCTTTGCATGTAGAACAAAGGTTTTGCACATTTGAACAAATACTGTAGGAGCAAGGACGCTACTAGGGGCTCCTGGCCGTACTACTAGGAGCAAAGAAGCTACTAGGAGCTCCAAGCTGACGCTGTTGGTCCAAGTTGAGACTCGAGCTTGACACCATAGTCTCCAAGTGTCTTTTTCTCCTCAGAGTTCAAGCACTTTTTGGCTCCAAGCTGCATGCTTGAGATCGTCCGAACTTGAAGCTGCCAAGCATCATCCCAAAGAAAAAGGGTATCACCACCACCACGTCTCAAATACAACTCCTGTGGCGAAATCTGCCATGCACTTGGACCACTTGGAGTGACAGAATGATTTCCAAAAGCGAAAAGCACACGAAGGTCGACAGTCATAGCAGGAACCTGATCTGCCGCTGGTGTGCCACCGTGAAAATACAACCTAGATGGCTCAAGCCAGGAAGTCAGTCGGTTAAGGTGAGTCAAGAAGCAAGCTGAATGTTTTGTTCGCAAGCAAAGAGTCATCTGGCAACATTTAAACGACAAGAAGAGTGTGTCAAAAAACCTGCTCAAGCTGCAATGAAGTTCAGCTGGGGTGTGGACTTCTCTTTGACTCGGCCAACCTTTGCATGGCATTCGAGGGACAGCGAATCTGGAAGCACCGAACCAACCCAATGTCAAGCTGGAGCAAACTACCGAACCAATGTGCATGTGGGCCGCAAGCCCGACAGGAACAAGTGCATCGCTGCTAGTAACAAGTGCCTTACTAGTAACAAGAAGCTATATTATGTAGGGCCGCAAGCCCGAGAGTGTCTTTTTGATTCTCTCAGAACCGAACGGTCATGCTGCTGTCGAACACGAGGTCATGCCATCGCTGAATGAGGTTGGAGTGAGTCACATCCAGCCGCAGGGTGCTAGCAGCCTGATGCAAAAACTCGTTCTTCACTTTTTAAACGCCCGCTCCCCCAGCGTACTTAATTAGTTAAGTAAGGGAGTAAGCTCCTAGCTACTTAAGCTTCGAGCAACTGTACGCAGGATAGCTCACCCTTCATTGTGAAAGAAGCCCCCAACCTAATTGCGATGGCCTCCAACCCACCAGCGATGGCCTCCAACCTAATAGCAATGGCCTCCAACCTAGTAGCGATGGCCTCGATGGCCTCCAACCTGATAGCGATGGCCCTCAACCTAATAGAGAATGCAAAGAGATAAGTTCTTATTTGTTTTAAAAGGGAGCTAGGGGAGCTGGCAGTGCCGGCTCTACGCTTCTGTTCCATGTTTGCTCCGCATGTGCTCACTTGCAAGCTTGATTCTTGTTACTAGAAGCTTCTTGTTACTACTAGTAAGGCACTTGTTACTAGTAGCGATGCACTTGTTACTACTAGCGATGCACCTGTTACTAGTAGCTTCTTGTTGAATTCTCAGGTCTCTTCACTTCTGCGGAGTTGTACATCGCCAGTTGTCGACTTGTGAAGAACGAGTTTTTGCTCGATCAGGAGGCCATCGCTATCAGGTTGGAGGCCATTGCTATTAGAAGGAAAAATAAGAGAAAGGAGAAGGATGCCATTCCCATTCCAATGTCAGGCAAAGTCTGGGTGACTTGCACCTGTCTGGGACCTGCTTGGAGTATGCGCAGCAGGCGCTAGCATGTGTAACGGGTTACTCCATGAGAGGAACCACGCAGAGAAGCGGAAGACTTAAAGAGATATCTGAAGAACCAAGTTGTGAGTGATAAGGGACCTAAGATGACCTAAGGGACCTGCGAAGGTTTGAAAGCTGCCTGTCACAGCCAGGGTTTTTCACGGAAGCTTCTCCCGCCCTCAGGCAGGAGCAGCTTTCTTGAAGCCGCTCTTGCTAGTAGCGCCAGTCGAGCCAGTGTTGCTAGTAGCGTTGAAGGAGATGTGTAAACTTGAGGCCAAGGGGGGGGGCGAAAGCTAGCGCTCCAGAATGGGAAAGTGGAGGGCAGCGATGTAGGAAAAAACACGGCGCTCTTTTTGGAGGCAGTCGCACAGAGTAGCAGAAGGCAGGACGCCTTGCACAAGTTGGGCGGGGCAAACGATTCCAGGTGAAGAGTCCTTTATATGTGGCTCTTTGCCCGGATCCTCCTGCGAGAGAAGAGAGGGAAGAGAGACGGAAAGACGAGAGACAGAGAGGAGAGAGAGAGAGAGAGAGGAGAGAGAGAGGAGAGAGAGATGAGAGAGAGATGAGAAAGAGATGAGGGAGAGATGAGAGAGATGAGAGAGAGATGAGAGAGATGAGAGAGATGAGAGAGAGAGAGAGACAGGGAGAGAGAGAGAGAGAGTGAGAGTGAGAGTGAGAGTGAGAATGAGAGTGAGCGAGTGCGGCCGCA